ATGCAATAGGCAGTTTGGGCTTTGGCTGGAGTGAAACGGGCCCATCAGTGCTCAGTGATTCAGATGGTTTTGTCTGATAAGCACCCGTGGGTGTGTGCTGGAGACACTGCAGTTTGTGTGTGCCGTGTTATTTTCAGTATATTGACCTAACATCAATGCATTGCAGACAGTTAAGATACTTAGAGATTTGCAGAATGATGAGATTTAATCTTTTCAGTGCCCCAATTCTAGCTAGAAAGGCATGTGTGGGAGCAACTGGCTTTCCAAAAAAATACCATGGATTGTGTTATTAAGGTTTAAGTGAAGATTTTAGTTATCCAAAGTGGATTTATTTTGCTGGAGAAATGGCCATTTCTCTGCTTGGCTACCAGAGTGTGTGCCCTTGAAAGATTAATGTTTGCCCAAGGAATTTGCACGTTCCTCAGCTGGAGATAGTTTTCAGCAGAGCTCACACTGATAAAGCCAGTGAGGATTTTTTCTCCAAGAAGCTGACCTGCTAATGACTGTAGTGGTAAATCATATTACCTGGTTAACACTGTTCTTAAAATGTTAATTAAAAGGGCTTTTTATTTATGGAAAATAAAAAATACATATACACGTATACTACAGCAAAACTGCTGGTGCTGGATGGTGAGCACCTGTGTTCTGTTTAGGCTTCGTGAAAAAATCGGACAAACCTTTTTAACGAGCAAGTGAGAGATATCACCCTACCGAGATCGCAGTAATTAGCAATTTACTAAAAATACCCCAATGTGGGTAATAATCCCTCATCCAGTGATCTGAAGGATCTTGTGAACTGCCTGGTTTAGGTGAAGAAACCAAGGAGCCTGAGCTACACGGTCTGCCTGAAGTCACACAGTAACTGCAGCCTGATGCTCAACGCCCAGGAGGCAGATTTACTGTGAAGTTTATTGTGCCTTCTGTATGGTTTGCTCTTGAACGTAGCATTTAGTTAGCAAAAAGGTATTTACTGCTCACAGGAAGGATACATGATTACTCAGCAACTTGCATCAGTGCATGTTTTTACTGTTCGTTTCAGCCACTGCTTTTGGCAAGTCAATAAAAAAAGCTCCCATCGCTCACAGGTTCAGCCCCAGCATTTGTCAAATCTATTAGAAGACAGATTCTGTCATTTACAGCACTTTTCATCTTGTGTAGCCCTAAACACCAGCAGCTGGATTGAGATTGCCTTTTCAGAGTTCACGAGGGACTTTTAGTGCTGTCAGATCTACGCAAGACTTAAAAACTATTTCTCAAAGCAAGATTTATTGGAGGGCTAGCATCTGGTGACAAATGCTAGAGGAATAACAAACTCCTTTGTATTGCGGTGTTACTTGACCTGCCTGTTTATTAATGTTCATCTTTCCTCATAACTCAAAAGCACAGCTTTGTGCTTCTGATGCACCCTTATGGAAACAAAATGCTGCTGCTTCTCCACATCAGAAACATCCACTTGTTAAATGTTCGTGTGGAAGTTACCAACAACTACATTGCATTGCTTTCCTGCTCTCCCTATTCAAACCTAAGTAACAAATCTCCCCCAGCTCCACAAAAGAACTGACATATCTTCCAGGAGCTAAAAGATGACATATTTATATTTTTTTCTTCATTTTCCGTTTAAAAGCTCTGACTTCTGTCATGGACACTGTGATAAACAAAGTCTTGAGTTTCTATAAGTTTCGAATAACAGTTGATTATATGGTAAAAGCAAGCAGCCGGCTGGGTGACAGAAATGGGACCAGTTTCCCAAATCTGCCCACCTCTACTATAGAGTACACTTAGTATTTATCTTAGCTACTTTATGCATATTAATTATATCATATACATATACATTCTACAGGTTTTTGCTAAGTATTTAATATATGGGTTTTCTTACAGCTAAAGTTAAAAGGGTTATCTCTACAACCAGTCATAATTCATGCATTCTTGGACAAACAGGCGCCTAAAGATTTAAAGTTCTACTATATTTTATTCTTAGGATAGTAAGGAGGTTTTAGGCTTCTTGACCTTGTAAGGGTCTGTTTTATTTCTTTATGGGGGTGTAATTAAGTTTTACAATCTGTTTGTTTTATTTTGATGTAATCACCCATTTGTTTCATGAATCACAATCATTTATATATCACAGACACTATGCAAGGGTTGGTAGCTACTGCCATCTCTGTGCAAATCCAAAATGCAAGTGAGGGACTGGTCTGCCACACGTGCTGGAAGCTGACTAATGCTAGCAATTCCAGGTTTTCCCTGAATCTTTTCCAGTCCCAGTGCACTGCAACAAAAACTGCAAAACAGACACTTTCTGGCTGCCCTTACTGAGGCAAAAGTCACAACGCATTTAAGAAGCGTTTTTGCAAGATTGTAGATTTGCAATCTGGAAACCAGTTAAATCTGCTCCCTTGTTTGTACTTACAAGCTTCCCCTACACACTTTTAGACATTTGCGCCAGGCTTCCCACAGGCAAGAACTGAGCCTAATGGGACACAGGCACTGAGGAACCAGAGGACAGTCCTTTGGGCAGCCTGTCCCCTTCCCAACAGGACTGCTTCCTGCCTGTCATCTGGACACGGCCTGAGCAGCCATTCCCACCCTCCTAGACTCCAGTGACTGTATTTAGAAGACAAAGCTGAATGGGATCTTCTCAAACCAGCTAATAGGATTGTTGTGCTTCACCAGTCTTGAAGTCTCTCTTGTTCTGTGAATATCTTACTGGGAATAATTCATCAAAATAATACCCTAGATCTAATCACAATTAATCCCTCTGCATAACACAGGCACATAGTGAAAACTTCTATTATCTCTGTGTTCTTACATCAGTATCAGCCAGAATTGTATCACTGCATCACTTCAGTTCTGACTAGTGCACTGCTGTGTCTCTTAATGGGCTGCAATATTGCTGCTTTCCAGGTTTCCAATTTGTATGGGAATCAAATTTGTATTTGTATCAGTGTGTTAGGCATAAGATTCCTCTATCAATCTCTTCAGTGATACAGTCACAGACTCCACTCTGCTACAGGTGCAAGTATCACAACATTTAAAAAAAATAATAAAAAACAACCCCCAAAACATTAATCAAACTGTTCAGAATTCCCACCTGTTCCATGTTGATGGCTATCAGTCATACTCACACGTTTCTGTAAGCATCTCCCAAAGTAATCTATCATCTGGAAACTTCTCTGAAGCAGCTAATTCTAAAGTGAGTCACATAAAATACTTAGGGAAATAAAACTTACATTGTAACCAAAACCTGATTCAAGAAAATAACATTATTCCCCATCAGGAACTGAGAAGAGCAGACTTGTATCAGGAGAAACCAACATAACCTGAATTTTAAAACCTTGTTACAAGTAATTTTCAGGCAACTTGTTCTACAAATAACCTGCAGATCTATCCAACTTATACCCCAAAATTAATCATGTTCTTTTCAAAAGATGATACTGTGGCACCAGAGCCCTCTCTTGGGCCAGTATTCCAACACAGTTTGCAGGGAGATTCACTGCAAAGCTCAACACTGCTACAAGGCTTTCCAAATTCCTCACACTGTGGAATTGGGGGTGTGGTTTGGGGCAGCAGCATCACACACTGGGGTCTCTGGATGCCCCTGTACAAAACACAGAGTAAGGAGCCCCCAGTCCTGATCTTTGTGGGAAACAAGCAGATCCCAACTCAGAAGAGAGACTGAGATCCAGCTCCTTAACTGTGTAACAAGATAAGCAAAGTCTTCTTCAACACGCTTATAAAACCCAAATAACAAAGGAGTTGAATTGTTCGTAGTAGTTACTGAGCAATTCATTATGAGCTAGCAGATAAGTTTAAAAAACCCACCTTGTTGGTCACTACCAGGAAATTTGTCAACAGAAAGAAATAAATTAATCAAAAATTACCCCATGTGAATTATCCGAGTAGCCCTGGTTAATATATAACCTCTTTCCAATTTTAATAGCTGCTGTCCAGCTCTCTCACACAAAATGCCAGCCATTGCATGTGCAATAAATATTAATGGTTCATAAATTAAAGAGCATTATTCTTCGTGACATAACAGCATTTTGCAAGGCCCCACGGAAAAGGTACAAGCGGTTTGTTGAGCAAGCTCTGATAGAAGAAAAACATGTCTTGGTTTTCGCTTTTAAAAGCATTTGTCAGGATTTATAGGGTATATCCAGAAGGCAATTAAGGCAACATTTTACAGAAAGCTACCATATGCCCCCAAATAACAAAGAGCAATAAAAGGAAAGCGTGATCTGTGAAAACAATTTGATTTATAGAATTACATTTATAAAACGTAGATACTTTTATCCTAAACAATTGGTATAGGAGGAGCTGATGTGATATAGATAACCCAGAATCTTCCCAAGCAAACTGTGTTGGTCATATTATAGCAGTACATTGCTACCAGGGCTTGGTTTTAGGGTGATGTCCCCTCTGAAATCCTACATCTCAGAGGACATCAGCACAGACACAAGCCAGGCCAAGGTGACACACTGCGTGCCTACTGGCACCCAGGCAGCACTGCTAAGGGAATTTCAAGGCCAGCCTAGGAGGCACCCCATGGAGCTGCCCTGCTGGGGTTACAAGGAACTTTGCTCATCCCTGGTAAAGAACATAAGAAAAGGTGAAGCAGGAGAATGAGAATGACTGGCACCATCCTCAGGGCAGAAACAAGAGTTAACAGCTTCACAGCCTCGCTGGGCAGGCTTGGAAGGGCCTTAAAAATGCGGAATGACAGTGGATAGAGGGGATGAAAGCAAGTCAGCAAAGAGATGCAAGAAGAGTGATAAAGTGCTTAAATTACAAGGCAAGCAATGAGTATCACTAGCAGCATTTTGAACAAATAGAAATAGAGTGTGAGTGTCCTCCTAAGTAACTCCAGACGTGAGGGGGTGAAAGCTGGGATAGAATTTCAGTTGTGCAGACACAGAGATGCTGCTGCACAAAACAGAAGAGCAAAGTATAGCTGCCCTGGAATTAGGATGTGAGGATGAGGGACATGCTGAAACAACACTCACATTTGCAGGCCGGGCTATGGCAAAGACACTGGGTGATCTTGTCTTCAGTGCCTGGAAAAGAAAAAAAAATGAGAGAGAAAGTGATCTTTAGGTCACTAGAAAACAGCAAATGACTAAATTTTGTTAATCAAATTTCCACAAAAAATTGTCCAAAATGCTACCACCTTAGCTTGCATTTGCTAGGTGTAGAAAGGTCCCTGAATCCGAGTCCATATAAGAGACTTCCAGAGATAGCACATCACAGGAAAAAAAGTAAATGTAGTTACATCTCTGGCAAAGGTTTGACACTTCTGAAGGTGTTTCAGTCCAGAAATAAGGATGAACTGGAAAGTATCTACATTAAAACAGTAGAAAGCGGTTCATTAAGCTTTAGGATGAAAGATGACTGGATTGTGAGAGAAATGGACTGAAGGGTGGCTGGTTTATTTTAAGGTATAGGAGATTACAATGAGATCACATTTTCTGTGAGGAGCCTGCAAAATTATACTTCTTAAGAAAAAAGGTTTGGAAGGAATTGCTAAGGGATAAGCCTGAAGGACTGGGAAGAACATAAAATGTGCTAAAGTGGGTTTTTTAGTCACTCAAAAAGTAAGCTTAGAGTTGCTAAAGTAAAGACGAGGGAAGTTTCTGGTGGTGCAGGTAGATACTTAGGAACTCAGTCTAGGAAAATGCTGAGTTCTCTGCAACTGTCTGTTGTTCAGCAAGGACCAAACTAGGTCCCTGGGGAAGGACCAAGTCACCTGCAAATAAGTTTAATGCAGACAGTTTATAAGCTCTCTGAGGTGGAACTTGAGCTGGTCGAGAAGGCTGTGGTATCAGTTCATACAGAGTAATACAAATAGGCAAATACTGATTTTTTTTCTCCCTCTCTGTAGTGTACACATCATAGAGGATGGCATTTGCTTTGTCTCCCACAAATACCCATTCGCTACAGACAAGCTGAGTTGGGGGATCAGCACACTTGGGAATGTGTAAGGGAAAGCAATTACTCACCTTGGGAAAACTGAGGGGGGTATCAAGTGCAGAAATCAGAGAGGGTCAGAGAACACACAGAGGCACAGAGCTGTAGGACACCCCATATCCAAGCTGCACTCACAAGCACATGCTCCACACTAAGATACTAATGAAGAGCAATGCATTTTCCCCATCATTTGAAAGACTTCTGGGTTGCTCTGGACACTGGAGTTCGAGGCCTCAGCCTTTCATGGGGGTTAGTGAGAGGGTCTCAGCTGAGAAAGTATCTGTGGGGACACTAGGGAGCAGAAAAGCCTTGTGCAGATAGTAATACAAAACTAAAGGATATTCACATCCTCAGGTTTTACAAAGCTATTTCTTCTGTTCATCTAATTTTTTTATACCATCTCAGAAACATGGAGGACTGAAAAAGATAGTGACAGATCTGATAAAGAGAAGTAGGCTTATTTACATAAGCCTAAATGTTAGTTATTTGGACTTGGTTTATTTTCTGCTATTCTCTGTTACTCTGACAGTGTCAGAGCTCTCTTAGGGGCAGTTTCTGCAGTTTTACCATGATCCCAAACTGGGTTCCAGTGCTGGTACTTTGGCATTAATTCCTTTATAAACAGAATATTCCCATTTGAATTCACTACCTGGATCAAAACAGTCACATATTCAGCATCCAAAAAATCTCTATCATTTTTTACAGTCAGCAGAAAATACAATCTTTACACTAAAGGATACAAAAGTGCAGAACACCTGCTTGCTACAACTTCAACTGCCTGGCTGTGAATTCATGAAACGTGGCAATATTCAGTAATCTATAGACCAACAAAGACAAAACAGTAGGAGGTTGCACTTTCATGACCAACAAACCAATAACACAAAAGCAGGGGGGAACACAATTTGAGGTAGTCGGACCAAAAGAGACACAGGTATTTCTGCTTCCTGCAGTAAATAAAACATGCTGTGTCAGCTGGAAAACAAGCACTCCAGCCATGCTGTCCATCTTAAAAGAAAGGCAGCAGTGAGGGAAGGTCATCTGCCACAGCTCCAGCAGGTTTGATGTGGAGTTTGTTCCTCAGAAGGAACATGGAGACAGGAGTTGCCCCCCACAACAGCCTTGTGGGCAGCTCAAGGGCAGAGCTCAAGGCTGGAGTAGGGAGAAACAAAAACTCAAACCACCATTTGGTAAAACTACAAACAGTTGCTTCCTCATATCACAGCACCACGTTCCTAGGCTATGGACTGAAAAAGAATGAAGCTTTTCTAATGTATCCATGTTACCCTGGTAATTTCACTGTCTTTTCCTCTACACCTGCTCTGCAAACGGAAAGAAATTTTTTTTCTCCACACTAGGCATTGGAGTTTTTTTATATCTAGAAGTGATTTCCATCCCATAGCCTGGGAGAAGCCTATTGAATTTGTGGGGTTTGTTCAATACACCAAAGCCAGACAGCAAGTCACAAAGGAAAGATTTCAACAGCAGCACATGCAAATTCAGCATAAAGAAAATACTGATTAATACAGCAAATTCCTTATGGTTTCTTCCAGCCAACTGGAGAGCTTGAGCCACATGGCCTGTTCCTCCACATCAGCCAGAAAGGTGCTTATTTGTCCCAGCCAAGGAATAACAAATTATCAGAGAACAACAAGCTGGCATCTTAAACTGTCCACCCTTTCCTGCAGCCAGGACTTCATCACTCTGCATATGAAATGTATTGCCCAAACTATCAAAGGGTTCACCAGACTAATCTTTATCTAGCCAGTGATTTGCAGGCAGTGGGAAACAAACAAGCAAACAAATAATGAGATCATAAATTTCCTGAAGCTATGAGAAAAGTAGGTATTGTTTGCATAGTAATTACCCTGGTTCAATTACAGTACAAATAGTCTTCAAAGAAAAGCTGGTCTCCTTCCTCTGAGGGCAAAAATGACTAAGAAACTACGATTACCTTCCCTACTTATTTCCATGAGAGTTGAAGTATTTCCTGTAGAAGATGAAAAAGACAGTACTTAGCATGAAAACAAGACATCTATTTTCAAGAGATATGGTAAATTCTACACGCTACACGTCTAAAACCTTCTGTTCATTGCCCCTTATGTTCAATAATTTTTATCCAAAAGCTGTACCTCTTCTTAGATAGACTATCAGCTGCTCTCCAGTCACATTTTATACACCAGGCATGTTAATATAAACCTCCAGTCATTCTGCTGAGGTCCATGTTCTAAAAGTGGTCTTGATTACTTCTCCACACTATCTTAGTGCAGTTTCATAGATGACACTGAGAGTCCCCGTTTACACAGTGAGAATAAATCCCCAAGATCATAACACTATGCATTTTGAAACCTGCAGATGACTTGCCCCAAGAAATTGCACAAATAAATCACCTGAAAGCAATAACAGTGTAGGAAAATTATACAGCTGCAGACAATGTGCAATCAGCCAACGCATACTGTATATATTCCTTTGCCTTTATCACGCCTGACAAGCCTATGGTTTGAGACTGACAACAGAGACTGTCTGTACATCAGGACCAGGGCAGAATTTATAGAAATACCTCTTGAAAGGAAGCACTCCAGATGGAGTGCCAAATCTCCATGTCAGCTCCAGACTGGTAATAATTTGTGCTCTATCTTCCTATAAAGCAACCTTTTCTTGTAAGAATATTCAAAGGGCTTTTGGAGCCGAGTGTAAATGCTTCAGCTATAGTACTTCTACTCAAATGACATAGTTCAACTATGAGGAGAACAAGCACAGATGATTCAGGATACAGCAAAGTACACAGAAGTGCCTCTTGCCTCTAAATCACCATGTTAAAAATGGTTTAGGTCAACTGGATGGCTGCCTAGTAAAATTTGCTGCTGAAACAGTTCAGTTTCTAATTCAGAGGAGCCAGATTCTGAATGTTGTCGTGGACTGAGAAAATATTAACTGCATCAGTGAACGAAGTATCAGGTTTTTACTGAATCCAGGGTATGAGAAATCACTGTCACTGTCAGTGGCACAAACCCACTATTTTTACTATCACTGTCAGCTGTGGCACTAAAAATTCAGCAGCTCAGCAGAGAGGCCAAGGACTATGCTGCACTTTCATATTCATTGCAGTGATATCTCCCAGGTATTATCCATACACTACAGAGGAACTCACAGTCCTGGTGTGTATTATAGTTAAAACCTTTGCAGGTAACAACTTTCACAACAGGTGATGCGAAAGTCCGTCTCTTCTGCTTAGGATATTTTGTAGTTCCATCTTTCAGTGGATACAGGAAGGTCTGCCTTGCCTTTGCATGCCCTGTGTGGAGTCATCCTGAATCTGAGTCTTTCCACAAGTGCAAAATGGCCTGGCAACAATCCATGTGGGAGCACAAAGGGGATTGGCCATTTCACAGTGCCAGCAGCAGTGGCAAGCAGGAAAGGACACCTGGCTCTGCCAGCTTTGCATCACACCAACAAGGGCTTTCTGTGGCAAGTCTTTCCCTGTGCTGCTCTGAGGACGAGCAGCAAGCTCTGCTTCATAGAATCTGAACAGAAGGTACGAGGAGAATAAATATTCTTGCTCTGGGTCAAGTCCTGAGAAGTCACAACAGGAGGAGCAACACAGGGGAATGAGGTACCCTGCCAGTGAAGGAAAATAAACACTAGGCAAATCAAAGGACCATTTAAAAAGACTCAAACCCAAACTGTTTGCAGCCATCCTGCAGAGGAGGTCAGATGGCATTTACAGGCAGCAGTAGGAATGGCCTCTGCAGCTGTAACCATTGGAGCAGAGGGAAGGAAGCAGCCTGGGACCTACAGCACAGCCCCCCCACACCTGCCACCAGGGCCCCTGTGAGCAGCTACCCCAAAAACTGTATCCCTGGGGCTACTGACACTGACAGGCAGCAAAGCAGGAAATTATTGGCCTCTGGACCCGAGCTCAGATTGATGTATGAAAAACACCCAGAGAAAATCACCTTATACAGCCGGAATTGGAATCGATAACTTATCAACACTACAGAGAAGGGGAAAAATCCCAGTTCTCTCTGCTCTGGTGGTTCTGCTTACTAACTAGGGCTCTTCTGTAGCAGTCAATATTTTTGAAAACTGGATG